TATTACCAAGGTTGTGACTGGAACATCATATTTGCGATATAACCATACAGCTTTTGAGGAATAAAGATTGGACTTTATGGAATAAAGCCACATGGAAATATTGGCCTGGTACCTTATGTTCCAAGCAGCACTTACCAGGATAGGTAAAGAATGTCACTTATCTGGCAGGCACAAGAAACCTCGAAATATTGTGGGGGAACCTCAGAAGAGAGGAATTCACCCAAATCTGTAGGTATTACAGGCAAAGTCTGATGACAAAATCCTTGGCTTGGCTTTCCTGGCCTGGAGAGGCCTTTAAAGTTCAATGTAAGATTCCTTATAAAAAGTTCCAGCAAAGCAGATTTAAAAGAGCCTATGTGATCGATGGCTATTCTTGTTGTACTTATGTAAATAATTGTGCCAACTCTATTGAAACTAGACTTATTTTGCAAACTAGTTAGTTTTAATTTGGCTATCTTAATAAAAATGAGGGTGATTTTAGAGAGAAAAATTATATTTCAATAAAAACTATAGTATACATTTGTGGATATTAGATCCTAGTTTAATTAATTGTCTTTTGAGGTTTTTGTTTTATATCTGTTGACTGGACTGGATCCTGATTTCTTCTCGTCTCCTGAAATATCTTGCTACAGATATCCAAACTAACATTTTTGATTTTTTCCATCATTTTCATTTGGAATCACTGAAAACTGAACCTGCCCTTTTTCCTGAAGCCTTACAAACTGAAGCTGATGGACTTGATATAAACTTAAGAGATTACCCGATGACATCATCAGAGACATTTTAAACTGCAACAGATGCTTTGACGCTGACATCTAAAAATCTTCTTAACTGGCTGTCCTCTTAACTCAAACTCTCTTAACTCAAACTCGTTTACAACTTGCTCCAACCATTAACCTTGTTTTTCTTTTGTTTACACAGAAATGCTTCTATTAAATACTTGATTGCTTGCTTCCACAATATAGGCGTAACCTTGAGAGCCCACCTACATCACCACCTTCCAAAAGGAACTTAATTAAACTGATCTATTATCAGGACTAAAAAATGTGTTCAGTGAGATGAAACAATCTACCAACTCAGCTTCTGGACTATGAAACTTCTTTAAGTTTCAAAAGGACTGTGAAACTTGTAGTTTCAAGGGTGAGACTGTGGGAGATCAAGATTTGGCCATCCTAAAATATATCTCTTTACCTTGATTGTTTTCTCTGACGGACATTTGACCTCCCCCACTAACTGCCTAAAGAATTTGACATGGTGGCTCCTTCCTGGAACAGATCTATCATGATGGCTATAAAGATAATGTAGGATAGAGGTTACAATAGAAAAGGCACCAACAAGCCCATCTTATCAGAAGTTCTGTCTCTCTGGCCACATTCCCTGGATGGCCCTGCCAGGAGCTGCCAGACAATCATTTACATTTATAAGGGAAATCTCCATTTGTAAAGGTATCTCCCTCTCTGTTTTGGGAAGCGGGGGGATGGCCTCATTTCTAGAGGCTTATCAATGTGGAAGGTGAGGCCTTAAATCTGCATAATAACCTTACTCTTGTTTACTGTGCTTCAGTGGTAATCTCCTGTAACTGACTCCCCCCACCCCCAACATCCTCCTTGTCTTTGGTTGAACATGGTATTTAAGATGAGAATTTCTGCTATTGTGTTGAGAAACTCAGCGTCCCTGCTTTCTCCCATGTATACATGTTATTAAACTTGGTATTATTTTCTCCTGCTAACCTGTCTTGTTAATTATTTGGCCAGCCAGAAGAACCTTAAGGAAAAGGGCAGAGGGAGATTCTCCCTCTTCCCCCGACACAAGGTATGCTCACTCCCATCACCTCATGTGATCCTCAGAACAATGCTCCATCTTGCAGATGAGGATGCTGAGACCCAGACAAGCTACGGGCCTGCCTCTGGTCCCACAGTCAGCATGGAGCAGGCCTTGACTTCAGCTTGTCCTACCTGACTACAAACCCACATCCCTGCCTCAGGAGCTTTTGTGTCCGTGCTCCCCCTGCCTCGACTTTGTGTCTTCTGCTTTGAAAGTAACACATCCCCACAGCTGGCAGTCATCTGAATCTCTCGTGAACTTATACAAACTAAACATTCCGTCCCCACCCCAGAGGGGCAGGATCAGAAGCTGGAGTTGCAAGTCATTACATGCCACCATGATGACCCCCGTCACTTGGGCACAAAACAGCAAAAACGCCCAGGGTCATCCTAGATCTCTGGTTAGCCTCCATCTGGCCCTGGGCACTAAAGAAAGGGGACCCAATCCCAAACAGCAGCAGAGCCTGAGCAGGACTTACTGTGTAGAGCTCATTGGTGACCTTCAGGAGCTCTTCGTGCATCTGCAGGCCAATCTCCTTGCTCTGGAATATGGAAGAACAAATGTCAGAAGGGGAGAAGGTTGCCGGTTGCATTGACCAATTTCCTTTCAACACAGAAAGGGCAGGAATACTTGGAGAGGGGGGAAGAGGTGCAGAAATCAACATAAACCTCATTGATCTAGACTTGAATTCCTCTACTCGTGTCCATGAAACAGATCCACAGAGAGAGGCTCCTTGCAAAAGGAACTCCCTGGCCATATAAGTTGGGGAACCCTACACATCACCTCCCTACATTGGTGATTCACAGACACATCGCCATATTAAAGATTCTGAGAAGCCCCCAGCCAGTCAACCCGTTCATCTTTCTTTAATTCTGTGGGTCCTAAGCTGATGTGACCAGAGTGTGTGTCCCTAGGTCAGTATTCACTAACATCTCATGAGAGTGGGGTTCTATAGAAGACAGTTTGAGAATGATGATCTAGCATCTCAATTCACAGGGAGCAGTACAGGTTCACAGGTGGCCCACTGGAGCATGAGCCAGGAGATCGAGGTTCCCACCTCTGCTGTGTCACCAACTGGCCACGTGGCCTTGGAGCCTGAGTTCCCACATCTATGAAATAAAAAGCTTAAACTAACACCTCATTTCCTCAAATGGTCTGGGGGTTACTGCCAGGAGCTATACTAAAAAAGGGGCAGGGGCTTCTGTGACCAAATACATTTGGGAACAGCTGGCTGAACAGAGTGAGACAGGCTCTCTTACCGCAGGACTCTTCAGAGGCTCTCACACCCTCATGGGCATGGATTTCTAAGGGGGCTTCTAGTGTGCAGTGAAGTTGACCTCAACCCTTATCCACGAGGTGACTTACAGGTTTAGCAGATTCAGGGACGCAATTCAGAAGACAATGAACAGATTATCTCCAGCCTGAAGAGTCTAGGATTCTCTGTTACTTTATGTATTGTTATTATTATTATTTTGGTAAATACTCTCCCTGTTTGCCCTGACCATCATGTGAAGTTTCTGTACTGAAAATGGGAGCCCTGATCTCTGCTCCCTGAGAGCTGAGTCATCCTGCCCTCCCTTTCAGCTTCCTCAGCCTCAAGCATGACCGGTGGCTGACAGGCAGAAACCCGCCTTCCTCCCGCCCCCGCGCAGGTCAGGAGCCCGCGGACTCAGCAGTAGCAGACATGATGTCTTCCTAGGCTCCTTCTCCTCACCTCACAGCCTTTTTCTCAGCTCTTGGGCCTGAAATTGCCAAGAATCACCCATCTGAAGGGAGCCCTTGCCTGCGCCAGACCTCTTAACAGATAGCAAAAGCTCCAGGGCAATTCCAGAGATCTGCTTAGAGCCCCCTCCAGCTCTGGTGGCTAAAGAAAGGGGACACAATCCAAAAGCACAGCAGAGCCTGAGCAGAACTTTCTGTGCAGAGTTTCTGGGGGAACCTTCAGTAGCATCCCATGCATCTGCAGTGGTGCTCGAGGAACCCAACCAGCTATCCCCACCTCCTTCTATTCTCCCTGATTCTCACAAGTGAGCAATCTGCCTGTGCCTCAGTTTCCCCTGTGGACCCCTCCCCCTGATGTTTGCCCCACTGCTGACTCCAGACTCTCTGACACCCTCCTGTGGCCTCCTCTCAGTCCTCAGTCTCGCCAACACCTCTGACACCCAAGACCCCAGTTTCTTACATATTTATTTTTATGATCAATTTTTTGATAGGTAATAAATGTGCATAGTTAAAGGAACTCGAACAGCCAGCAAGGTAAAAAATAAAGGGTAAGTCCCCCATGCTCCCAGACCCCCGCCCAGAGGCAACTGCTATTATAAGTTTCTTCTGATACCTTCCAGAAAGAGTCTATGGATATACAAGCACACATTTGGATAGCGTATGTTCTTTTTTTAACACAAATGGGAGTATTCTATACACATCTTTGCATCTCGCTTTTTTCCACCTAACAGTATATTTAAGAGATTTTTCCTTTGCAGCCCACGTAGCTCCTGCATCCTCCTTTTTTAACAGCTGCTTTGGGGCTCCATAAACCAGATGTATCATTAGTAATTAACCAGCTCCATAGTGATGGACGTTTGGGTTGTCTCCAGTCTCTTGACGTTTCAGACTGATGCGGAGAACATCCTTGTACTCTGTCACTGTGCACACGAGCAGGGACGCCAGTCAGATAAATTCCTAGAAGCAGCTCTGCTGGGGAGAGTCCTGTCTCCAAAACTCCCGCCAGCCTTGCCTTCTCAGGCCTGACCCGGCCAGCTCCCCACGCACTCCTGACTTCAGCTTCCACTTCGCGGTGACCCGCAGCCACGCCACTATCTCCACGGTCCTCTCTCCTGGGCTCTGTCCGGCATGACCTTGAGCCCGAGCTCAAAGACATGTATCTTCAGCTGTTGCAAAACAGTATGGTCTAGATGTCCCCTCATCACATCCAACTCAAATTATCCAAAAGCAAACTCCCGGACTTTCCCCATCCCCTCAAGTTTGGTCAATGGGATAACATCTTCCCAGGCAGGGCAATTGGAAACCTTGGAGTTATTTTTGACACTTTTTTTTAATCCCTCTTCCTCAATCCAATCTGTCACTACATCTTGGCTTCAAACTGCCCAGTCCTTGGTTCTCTGTAGCAGGCAATGCTGATTCCCTCCCCAACATCCATTCTTTCCCTTCCTGCTTCCTAATGGAGCCATGAGTTTGGCCCTGCATTCATCCCTCCAGCTGAGCTCTTCCAGGGAAGCTGACCTCATCCCAACTTGAGACAGTGGATTCTGGTTCGTGTTAGTCCAGGGGTGAGTATGTGACTTAACTGGACAGAAGAGAAGGACTTAGATGGTTGAGGGGAAGGTTTTAGCTTTTCTACTGAGTGCTGACAAAAAAGCATGGAGCCCCAGTTGCTACCAGCAGGCATCTCAGGGCCGGAAGAGGAGGCAGCCTTGGGGGGCAGAGCAAAAGAAACCTGGCTCCTTCATGACCTCCTGAAAAACTGGTTGAACTGAACCCAGAGCCTGCCTCCCTGGGAGCGTCCACTTTGGTGGCTTTGTTGGTTAAGCCACTTTAAGCTAGGTTTTTCTGTCACTTGCAGCCAAAAGCATCCTAAGGGATCCATTTCCCACCACCAGTCCCAGAGCAAGCACGTCATCATTGCAAGATCCGGACTGCTAAAGCTGCCCCTTAACCAAGTCCCCGACTCTTGCCCCCGATTCTGCGTGCCCGCACCAGTGTAATTTCCTAGAAATGTTTTCCACTGTATCCCTCCAAAGCCCCCTCAATGCCTAGAGGATCAAGACCCAGCTCTTCAGCTTGACTTTCGAGGCTCTATGTGACCAGCACAGACCTGGTTAGACAGGAGAAAGGGCTGAATTTTGGAGCCACAGACACCGGGATTGGAGGCAGGGTTTTCAGCCATTAACCTTTGGGCATCTCAGCTTCCCTGTGTGTAAGATGAGCACCCATTTCTGTCCTCTCTGCACTTATAAAGGGAAGTGTAATGATCTTGCTTGTTTGCTCATTTATCATTTGTTTCCCCCCCTTGAATGAAAGTCCCATGAGCACAGAGACTCTCTCTGGTGGTAGATGCTCACATCCCCCAGCTGCCGGGAGGATGACAGCAGACAGCCACCAGCCAAGAGCACCCTTCAGGGATGGCCTCCGAGAACAAGGTGACATCCCTTCCAAAGACTGACACCTCATCTGAAGACGGATCTGTGTGGGGCACAGAGGCCTGCCTCTCCAGTCTCAATTCGGACAGCTCTGAAGGGTTGCCCCATCCTTAGAACTCCCCGTAGGGCTGGCTAAGATTTCTAGTAAGGCTGCCTGCAGCATGGCCCGACTCCACCCTGCTCCCTCCTTTTCCCTCCCAACGTGTGGATCCCAAGGGATTAGGGAGAATGCTCCCTAATCATTCTGCTAGATGCTAAATTCAGATATTTCACAGTCTGTTTCCCAGGTTTCCCAATCTGCAACATCTCGCTTCCCCACTCCTATGTCCCTGCAATGCCACAGAGCCTGTCACATAGTGGGTGCTCATTAAATATGTTTGTTGAATGAATCTATGAACAAATGAAGTGACAGTTCCTCTAAGCCTTAGTTTGTCTATCTGTAAAAGCAGGATGATGTCAGGAGTGTCATGGAGTCCCTGCGAGGAAGAAAAGAGATAACACATATGGCAGCACCTGGCCCCGTGCCAGGCACAGATGAAGAGCTTGGGAAACAGTAGTACAGGCTGAATTGACACCCACTGGACACCAGAGACAAGGCCAGGAAGTTGCCCAGGAAAGGGAATACAAAGTTGAATTTTTTATTTACTTTTCCCTTAATCTCCCAGTGTGGCAGCGTTGAGGGTCAAGAACACAAATAATTCTAAGGCAGGAGGCAGAAAAAGCTGTGAAAGAGTGGAAGATGGAGTAATATGGGATGAAGTGATGAAGAGGGTGGTGGGAGTACCACCAGAGCCACCTCGCCTTGCATGAATGGCCAGCGACAGCATTCTAGGCAAGGGGCACAGCCCGAGCAAAGGCATGGAGACCAGGAATAGGCAAGTCTGGTTTGCAAAGAGAGCAGCTTAGCAACAGAATAGCAGAAGATAAGCTCAAAATGGAGGCTGGGCCAGATAACAGAGGCTGATGGAGCGCAGGCTTCATTCACTGTGGAACTGGGAGCCACTGAAGGTTTTTAAGCAGAAGAGTGTGATGATTAGAACTACGGCTCAGGGAGATGAAGACGCTGGTGTATGGAGGGTGGATTGGATGGAGAGGCACTGGAAGTCTGGTTCTTGTGTCTCCTCAACAAGACTGTGAGCCACCAGATGGAAACCGCCGTGTCTCTGCTCATCTCCCTCTCAGCCCAAGCCCGGGGCTGGCCACAGAGTGAGTGCTCAGCAAATAGTTACTGAACTGCACAGGACTCCAAGGCGTTTTATTTTTTTTATGGTTGGGAAGGGAAATATTCTCAACTACAGTTCCAGAAACTACTGAATGAGGAACCCAAACCAAACATTCCACCAGGAACAGGAGGCCAAAACCCTGATAATCTCTAGCAGACCAT